GAAGCTATATATATAAAAAACCGGATACAAATAGGTGTTTTGCGAAATTGAGAGCAATTTCAAATCTGTTCAGTTTTTTTTGATACACCCTGTATAACTGGGGGGGCCAAAGCCCCCCCAGCCCCCATGGTGGCCCCCCCACTCAACCATTTTGGCCCCCCCAGTCAAAGTCCCTTTTCTCTAAAATATAAGCAAAACATGGAATTTAGAAGGGAGGTTTGATATTCTAGTAACTGAAATTTGCTTTGTGAATCTTATGTCCTGTCTTTTATGTTTAATAAATGCCTTATTAGATTTTAAACATTTCCCAGGCAGTGGATTGCATTACCCAGACCCTATAGATTTGAGTTGTTGGACAAGTTAGTGACCGCAGGGGGCAACAGGCCCTCAACCAAGTGTTTTATAAGGGGGGGGGGGATAATTTTGGCCCCCACCAAAAAAAAACCAATTTGATTTCGAAACTAGAAGTATTTGAAATCATATATACATATAATCAAATATCTGTAATCGATATTTTGATAACATTTCTCGTAATAATCCATCCTGACTCGCGGATATCATAGACTCGCAAATCATAATGAACGAATTAATGAAAGGGCCTAACAAAAGACGTATACAAGACTTTGAAAATGCCATTTCCGACGATTTAGAGACGCAAAATTTTCAAAATTTTTTCGCTCTGTGCCAACCATGGTGGCGCTTTGTGGGAGTCGGGAACTCTAAGTTTATCAAGCTGGCTCCCTAAGTGACGGCCAAGTTGTGGTATCTACATCAGTAAACATACTATGCAAGTACTTAACTGAAGGTTCAGTCTATCTACAGCATAATGTAATGCTGTATATCCAAAAATCTGTTTCAGAAAATGCAGGGAATTTCAGTCATAGGGGTAGAAAAATACAAAAAATTTTCTGGGAGAGAAAACCCCAGACCCTCTCCAGGGTATATTATCCAATATATTGTTAATTAAATACACCTTCGCCCATTTCGTACTACTGAATTCTAAATTTCCACATACTAAAAACGCTGTTTTCTGACAATCAGAAATCTGTCAAATCTTCTCCAAAGTCCAGGAAATGGCATTTCAGAGACTCTAAATTTAAAAATTTCCTCGGGCCTTCGGCCCTCGCTTTCAGTCCCCCCCCCCAAACGAAAAGAGCTTCCTACGGCCCTGCTCCCCCCCCCCTACTATTAAATGCGATACCACACCAAACTTTATGTTACCAACAAACCATCTATCATTGCTCCACACTCGGTATAGTATGGTCCCTTTTTGTAGATGGCCCCCCCACTGACGAATTCTTAAAAAATGCCCTGCAAAATGTCCGTCGGCAAAATGTCTTTCGGCGAAGTGTCTTTCGGCAAAGTGTCTTTCGGCAAGAAACTGGCAAGGGGGATACACGTTACATTAAATATATTCTTGACTGAGAACAGCGACGATTTATTGGAGGAGCTTGATGCGTAAAATTTCGTTAAAGCGTTTGTAGATATGGTTCCAAGAAAATGGATTCAGTTTAGGTTTTTAACTGTTGAATACATGTATGTCATTTGTGTGATTTACGTTTGTGAGATCATAAAAATCATATCGCTTCGGAATTCTGCAAATTATCACCCCAAATATGCTTGGAATCGCATGTCATGCAGGTCTCACACCTACGGCATTCGCTTCGCCCTTTGAAAAACAAGCTAAAAATGTCTTAATTTTTTTTTATTCATTTAATAGTCTTAATAATAGCGAACTTAAGCAATGCTTAATCTAGTACGGGAACGTGCCGAGAAACCGCCTTAAATTTAACACTTTTATAATTATAAAGAAGTAAAGAACTATACTGTTATTAAGGTTACAGGACACCTTTTTTGGCGTTTTGCGGAAAATCGCTACTGCGCGCTCAATATCAGTTCGATTTTAATCAAATTTTCACCAAATGTTCTCCAGTGCATGCAAAATATGGTAAAGTTGTAAAATTAACAAACAATAAAATAATGTAAGAATCATTCAGGAAAATCTTAAATCGCGGTAGCTTTACGCTTTTGAGTTGTGCTCCTGCTGGTTTTAAGTTATATTTATGAAAATATCATTTTTATACAGTAAAATAGTTGTTCTAAAAAATTGTGTTCGGAAATTTTTGTTTATTTCGTCATTCCGATGATATGGCGATTTCTTTGACGACTGCAATATATTTCTGAATTGTTTGAGTGAATTGCTCTTTATTTTTAAAATATCCAAAATTAAAAAAAAGCCGAACACAATTTTGAAACTGACGTATTTAGCTATGTCCTGTGAAAATTTGAGAAAAATTGGTTAAAACCCGCAGGAGCACAACTCGTTTGAAAATCAGTAATTACCGTAAAATTTTTCGGGAGAAAATTGAATTTGAATATTACATTTTCAATGTTTTTCTTATTGCAGCGAAATGTATTTTACTAAATAACTCCGCGAGTTTCAACATTTTTCGCTCAAACTTGGTCAGATAGTAGAACTAGTCTAATGCTTTCATTGAAACCAATAAAAAATTTTTAGGCAAAATTAACACTCAAAGGGTGTTCTGTAACCTTAAGAACGTCAACAAGCAGGACGAAAGTGCAACGAGCATATTAATGCACGAAAATGAGCAGAAATTAACCGATTAGTAAAATCCCACGGGCGTTTTAGACGTCGCCGTTGGTCTGTTTAAACGGCAAAATACAGATTATTACGTCTTGTATACAACGCTTACATTCCAAGCTGGGCCAACTGCTATTTTAAATGGGTCCTAGAACGTTTCTCAATCATAAACCCTGTATTAATCTTGACGGCTTAAAGATGCTGTAAAGTCCGTTCTGCGCATCAGTTCTGATCATAACAAAGGGGGACCCGCAGATATAAACATTGCCCAAATTTTGCATCTTTCGATCTTTTTTGAATTGAAACGTCTAGTTTATATTCATTTACAAGCATAGCG